TCATTTATTTATTTGTTTATTTGTTTATTCATTTATTTGTTTATTTATTCAGTTATTCAGTCCGTGATGAATTTGAAGCTGTATTACAAAGTGGTAATTATGGATACCTAACTGAAGGGTAGGAGGAAACAATATTGGAGTACTAGCTAATAGTGGAAATCCTATAAAAGCCAAGGCTGCGGGTACAAGTATATTGGTAGTATTATTATGTTTTATCTCTTAATCCATGAGAGACCAGTCTGTAAATTAAAATGTACTGCAGGAGCAGAAGCTTGACCTAAACATGAATAAATTATATAATTAATAGTAGATCCTTCTACCCATACTTGGTTGTAGCGCTAAGCTATAAATTCTTAATAATACCTGATTCCGAATACGCGATGAAATTACAAGTAGGAAATAGCGATAACTCAAGGATTAGTGTGTGAGACTTGTGTTTCAAAAGAGGTATTGCACCATGCGAATCTATCGCTCCAGCCACTACATGCACTTCATCCCCCATATCGCTAACCGTATTTGACCTATGCTAGGGATGCACGTCTACTACGGTACGGTACGATCTTAAGAAACCCCCGCGAACCCTGGCAAAGTCATATCGCCCATCAAACACGGAACACCGGAACCAGGAGAACCATTTAAAGCGTTATAAACGGTAAACAGGCTTTTATTATTAGTATTGCCCTCCAACTTTTACTGATCCTACATGCCGACGGTGAACGCCCATTCAAAAAAAAAACACGGTAAGGGAAAGAATTAAACTATCACTCAACAATCCCACTCCTGCCGACCGCAGGACCTCCGGCTCCGCCCTTGTGTCACCTACCTGTCATCCAGGATTCAGGCAGGAAGCCGCCTTACTCCCACGGTGAGTTGTGTTGTTAACTACACAAGTCATTGGCAATCTAGTTCGTGCAATTGTTACTGCGATTGACTTCAACTATGAACATGTCATTTTCTCTCCTAATCCTCCCCGTGTTCATCTCAGGCTTGTCGGCTCTTCCTGCCATTCAACAATTCGCTCCGTTCCCCCCAACTCTAATCTGCAGTATTCTCTTTTACGCTATTGGAATCCTTATCGTTTCGTGAGGTTGTTGTCAAATGTGGCTCAAGTGGCTATTAGTCAAGGGTATTATATCTTTCAGGCACCCACAGAGATTCCCATTCGTAAACATTCTACCATACTAGGTAGGTGGCGCCTCTACTCATGCACCTTCCGCCTTTCTTGTTTTTGTTGGAAGTCGCTAGGTGCTGCTCGCCTTGCTCTCACGACAGGTTGTTCGCGTAGTCTGGGAGCGCGTTTTGGTTTCGGGTGCGCTATGGCTTCAGGCGCACTTTGGCTTCCACCCGCACAATTTGGCTTCTCGGAAAAGCACTTCGGCCGCGGGAATACGTGGGAGTCTTAGAGCAGTGCATCTCCCGAAAGGAAGGCGGGAAGGAGAGCAGAAAGGCCGTAAGCATCGCCGAGGCTCTCGCGGGCGAGAGTTCGTCTTTCCTTGGTTAGCTTTTTCTTGTTTGCTAGCGTGTGGAAGTAGTACTTAGAGCGTTAGAATTTCGCTGTTTTGTGATTGACCTATTCTCCTGTCTTTACCATTCGTTAGTTGAGTATGCGTGATGGGGGTAGATGAAGTGAAAAGTTTTTACCCCTGCGTAAGTTGTGCGATCATTTTGTGTGAGGGAGCTTGGCGTTTCGTTTCGTTTCGCAGTGTTGGTTGCGTGCCATTGGTTGCACCCTTTCGCGGGGTGTCCTTTACTTTCAAAGCTCGTCACTCCTGCGTTTCGTTTCGTCTTTTCGTAGTATCCTGGTTCATATCCAGGTTCGTTTCCTTCCTTCGTTCGTTCACCTCTAGTTTCGCTTTCGCGATAGCCTTCGCCGATCTGACGTTTAAAGGTTTCCTGCAAATTATTTTTCAGTCCATGAACACCGAATAACTTACTCCCACGCGGGGGCCCTCGGTTGCCACTGTGGCTTAGCGTCCTACGAAGTGGCGGGAACCTTGGCGGGGGTTCATATTACCTCATATCAGCTTGCGTCATGGGCTTCCTGTCCTGTCACCATTATTTCCCTTCCCTCGTAATCACGGCAGGCTCTTTCCTAATGCTTAGTGGAGGTACTTATCAACACCTCCACTACACCTGAGTAGTGTGGAAATCCCAGCCCTGTCCAAACTGCGGAGCACTATCCTACTGCGGAAAGCATGATTAAATGTGTACAGAGGATGATATTTCGATCGTGACCGTGCTGAGTGGTACTCGGTTTGTGCATTCTGAGCCCAACACCCCCTTGAAGTACTGATTGTCATTGCAATAAGAAGAAACGAGACTTTTTGCGTGCTCCCCAGGACAACCCTCCTCCCCTAGCGTCTAGCGGTCACAGGACAGGACACGGAGCTTGCTCTAGTTCGACGTTCGTAAACCCTGGTCCACACAACTACGTACAATCCGGTAATGGAATAAGTCCTTCAAAACAAAAAATATCAGAATTAAAAAAAAAAAAAAAGCAAGAAAGGATCTGAAATCATGATATCACTTCTCTGTAGCTTTTTTTTTATGAAATAAAAGATACAGAAAAAAGGGGCATTGTAAAAAGAGTTTGTATCCGGACGAAATAATTTTTGTACTCAAAAATTGAGAAAAGCAGACTGATAAATGGTGAGAAGGTGGGGCACTACCAAGTCTTCTCTTACCCCCGGCCTTCATTGGTGGGTGATGTCAAAGAGCAAATCTATCAGTACCTGCTAATACCGGAGAGCTGTGGAAATCACTGAAAAGCACGCTGTGCAGTACTGGACTTTACCAGTAACAGTAATACCAATAGAGAAAGTGAATAGAAGGCAATGCGACCTTGTTCCATGATGGGTGTTTGTCCTCGACTAACTTATTCATTCATCTATGAAAAAGTCTGCTCCTGCAAAAAAAGAAAAGACGAAAGAAAAAGCGCAAGGAAAATCCTGGCGAGGCTTGTCTCCTGCCCTTCGTGTTATCCCTTCCTCCCTTTCTCCGCTCAACCCCTTACTAGCTACTTATCCGTCTCCATCATCCATAACAAGGGGTAGAAACTTATAAATAGCAAATAAAGGGCGATAATGACTATTGTTGTGATTTCTCATGAGTGCCCCCCTTTCCCCTAACAGCACGGATAAACTATCCGGCAACGATTGTCTTCAGAAACACTTTCTGAGCTCTGTATCGATCAACTGAACAATAATAAGCAAATTCTTATACCCTTTTCAAATGGGAAATCTGTCAAATAAAGGTCTACTATACTGCGGTGCCGAACAGGCCTGCATGATACCATACACTCCGGTGTTCGGGTTCTAGCATCGCTAGCTCCGGTTGCAGCGGAATTTGTTTCATCACTGGTTCACAATTTATGTCGGTTGCACTACTCAAGTGGCCGGTTTGAAGACGTGTTTCCATATTATACATGGTATGGGGGTTCTTGGCATGGGAAAAGTGGCATTTCATAGGGGGAATTGAAGCAAGCGGATTATGGTGGAGGTGGCTGTAGGAAAAGATAGATTTTGAACACTACGAAATACAATTTTAAGTCACTTAACTAAGTCCCCGGGAATGTGGAATGGATATCGCACTCCTCTCAAAAACCCCAATGCCATGAATTAAAACACGACTTCAAACCTGTGGCTTGAGTATATTACGTGGAGTATTCTGATGCCTGAGGCGTTCCGAAGCAGACATATGGTGTATTCCATTCATTAGATCAATTTCCCAGGGGAAGGGAACGAATTCACAGCAGGAGGAACCTGGCGCAAAGAGCAAGCATCGTTGATAGTTCCTTCAAAGAAGAACTCTAGCTCAAGTGAGAAAGGGCAAAGAATGAATCCCGTACTTTGTTCCCGAATTTCACGGCAGCGTAACCCTGATATGTCTCGGGCGGCAAAGGTGGGCTTTTTTCCCGTGATGCAGTACAAGGAAAATCTCGGTGAAATCTACTATCTCTATCAGGCCCTGCCTATAGTAACGTATATGATTTCGCCCACCACGTGTGTTGGATCTCGCTAACCGGTTCTCGTGCATCCCCGACCCTGTTAACCCGCCAAGCTAGAACTACAATGTCTACTTGAGCTACAAGAGATTATGGATTGCAAAAGACCTTGCAATAGCGGTTATTATACGGTCATTCCCCGATCGTGGGTCAGTTATTGGACTCCCCTTGAGTTCTTAGGCCGTTGGTTTTATCTTACCCTTCCTGTATGATAAGTCATTTGCCACGCGACAGGTGCTAGGTTATAGCCGCACCGGTATCGTGTTCTGTGACGGCATCTTTATGGATAGACGTGTCCATCTCCCTAAAAACTATCAAGCTTGAAATAACAAAGTCAATACCAGTAGTAGAGTACAAGTGGGGCCGACAGATACATCCGTCACCTAAGGTTTGATAAGGAAAAGCTCAAGATCGGTCTTGTTATCACGTTTCACGTGACGATTGGATCTATTGGCGGCACCTGTAAAGGATGCGATAAGTGAATTTACCAGACAGAATCCTTGTAATTCCAAGACACAGCCTACCATCAGTAACTAGCTGTCTTGCAGCCTCATGATTCTCGACTTGCCGAAGGAGCGCACCGTATAAACTAAACTCGTTAAATCCACCATTATCAGAGGTCTCAACCAATCACTATCTAAACGAGCTCAGCCGAGTAGGTTAGCGAAATTAATGAGACCCAGACGACTCACACTCCTCCAGCTGTACTCCGTCTGGAACGGTTTCCCCTGTCGCGGTGTTTTGTCTCAAATACGGCAGGGATCTTGAACGGTGAGAGATGGTGGATTTAACGAGCTTTTACGGTAGCAGGGGAAACAAAGCAGCGGACGAACACGAAACAAGCATGGCCGGCAATAATAATCCCATCGCAGAGTTGCCAGGGCCAGGTGTATGATATTGTTCCAAAATGTCCAACCGCAAGCTACTCTCCATTCCCAGCGGCACCAGATTTGGTCGCTTACTCCTACTCACAGGGGGATTATATAATAATCCAGCAATGCAGGCCTCCACGGCCTCCAAATCTGCTCCAGGCTCTCGTCATAGGGGGACCCGGAAGCTCCTCAGAGTCTACATTCATGGGTTCATGGGCGGCGGAACGAACTTCCGGATCTTTCCTGCCCAGGTTCATAATTTTGTTTTGTCCATCGTTTTGGAAGATCTGGGCTGGGGCGCCTATGCAGAAGTGTATCCGAATTTCAAGACCAATAACGGATGTGGTACTGCTTGGGCGCTCTACCGCCGGATTCTGGCGGCAGGGGTGGCGTTTCTGAGAGGTGAGCGCGGGGATTCAAGCATAGGATATTTGGGGTTTGTCATGCTCGGTTCACTGATTTTGGGGATGCATGCGGGGAGCCTGTTTCGGTTGCAGGGGAAGGGTCACATGAGGAGAGGGGGTGTACGGAGGGGTAAATTTGACGGTGGTTCTGCTGTCAACAGCACACTATATTCTAGCGGTACCGTGGGTGGCCTTTTTCAGAAGAGACCACAGCGGAATTTCGCGATTATGCAAAGCAAGTAGGGTATGTTTTAATCACAATATTCTTATGGGGGAGTTAATGCTAAAGGGAGTATAGAGGAAACTTGGGATTCCGCGCCGAAGTTGAAAAAAGACCATTCTCGTCTTGCCTCTGCGACGGGATAGCACTCGATGTCGCAGCTTCAGGCAGGGTTTGTTTTCTGGTCTAGCCGCCCTCTATACGGGAGTCGTTTAACTAATTATAATAGAGGCTACCTCGCCGATCCCACAGGCCCAAAAAAACCGTTACAACGCCATCCGAAAACTCGAAACCGGCAATCAAGCCCTGAGGAGTAAAACAGTCCCGCACGGGCTTTGTAACCTACCACACGTCCTCCACCGGGCGCTCCAAGTACCCGCCGAAACCCGCTCCTGCGGCGGCGCACCTAGAGCATTCACTTGACCTCGCGGACGTGGGAGTGGGGGGGCCGGGTGGTAGCGAATTAGAAGAGATGACTCGGCAAATACACCTTGGGGTTAACACGTCCCCTCCCCTGGGGAACTGGACTCCGAGAACTCTTGCACAAGTACTATCTCCTCAGCAGGTGAAATGGTGCTGGCACAACTGAATCCTGGCCCTGTGTCAGATGAAAAGGCGTTCTATGAGGATATACCAATGGGACCTATCCCTGTGTCTATTCTAGAAACTGGAGCGATGGGGCCTCAGCGCAGGATTTCCCACCATGCCCCGTCTCCCTCCACTTATTCCACCACTTCCAGACCACCGCCCCTAGCAATCTCCCGCGCTACCAAAGAAGCCCACAGAATTTCACTATAGTCACACCCGCTATCCCGGATGGCTAAATTTTGTGGATTTCATCTGGGACACCGAGGTATCCGGAGCAACGGGGAGGAGTTTATGTCATTTGGAGAGGAATAAACATCAACTGGGATAAATTGAGACTATTCTTATACGAGACATTATCTTGATTATTATTCATGGGCAGCATTATCACAACTGGTAGTCGAGCTGGCAGCTACCATGAGGCTATGATACCATGTAATTAGCATGTTTTTCTGTTGACCTAACCTACTCGAGTACATTACCCCAAGTTCTATGATTTGAGTATCGGTACTAGAGATCCGAAGTATTGTACCCGAGTACCCTGCCTCCATGTCCCAGTTGAACCATGAGCCTGCAATACCCCTTTCCCATCCTGATTTCCCACTTTCTCTATATTTGGCCCATCCCTTTCGCCTCTTTCGGTCTAGAAATTCCAACTCTAATCATAGCATCCAGTTTAGCAGGTAAATTTTGTATCGGAACAGGGGGTTGGATTTCCCAAGATGTCATACGGATCTGAAAACACTCTTTCTGGTTCCACGGGGGTTTTCCTGTGAGGAGTTGGAGGAGCAAAATATTCCGTCCCGCCCAGCGGGGTACACGGTTCAATAGGATCCGGGGTAGCAGGGCACAACTGTACCAGACTCTCATTTTGAGCAACAGAAGGCTGACTGGAGGGGTACAGCAGATCTAATCCTCGATCTCCGAGCAACACAAGACCTTCTGACTGGTATGGATGAATATGGCACGCAATAGCCTTCAAATAAAAGATAAAGATTGAGAAGATGAAAGACTAAGAAACGAATGACTGAGTACAGATATCAGAGATGAAGCGGAGGACAACTGGAATAGAATGGACATAGACCAAGAAAAGACAAAAGAATAAAGAGAAGAAGAACCAGCTTCCTTATATGCTTTCCACAATAACACCTTCTTCCTTTCACGCATTTCCTTCTCCTACCCAATCTTCCAACTCGTTTACCACTATCTCCTGCCCATGCTTATCCGTGTTGCTTTCCGAGGTAAAATGGTAAATAACCACGGGTATAGTAAACTGTGATGCCGAGGTGCAAAGGGTAGAAGATCAAGGATCTTGTTGTTCTTCGGTAACTGTGAATCGTATCGGGTTTCATTTGGAGATAAGCTATTGTTTGATGTGGTTGACACGATCGGCGGCAAGTGACGTCTCAAGATGTGTCTGGAACTAGAATGGTGAAACCGCCCTGGATGTCTTGTCGCTCTTGGCGAACTATGATGTTCCATGTGGTGAGCAGTCCAAAGAGAAAAATGTTCAACATCTCATGGGTCTCGGTGCAATTTCCTAAGTCTTACCTCCGCGGGCACTCAGTGTGATATATACCGTTTGGCTATTCGCCTGTCCGCTGGGATAGGCAAACAGTGAGGATTCTGGGGTGAGGGTTTTCAGTACAGATAGGGGATCGTCTTGATGCATAGCCGGGAGCCCCCAGCGGCTCCTGAGTACTGTGAAGTCGACCGTTTCTGCAAGGGATTGATGCTGGTGACTTGGCAGTGTTCACGGGTATTATGGTACTGTGGAGGGGGATGAGTTAGGGGATTACAAATGTAGAATAGGACGGGAATAATTAAGGTTACGGTCTATGTATACACGAGCGAGTATAAGGGGCCGTTCTGTACGGCTCTATCTAGAAAATACTGAATGAATACTAAGGAATAATGTCAAGGACGAATAAGAAGCAATTGCGGGGCAAATTCTAACTAAAACTTCGAGCAAGGAAAGGGCGATGGAGAGGGAAACAAAAGAAATACATACAAATTGATGCCTAAAACTGGTCGGAGAAAGAACGCCGCTTATGAATGTTATGTACGACTAAACTCACAGAGGTCTTGACAATAACGATCCCCCGATCGGTAATTATTTGTTGGATTAGAATATGGAGTGAAGGAAGGAAGGAGGTGAATGGGGAGAGCCAAGAGAAAATGAGAAAGGCGACGAAGAAATAGTGGTCGAACAAAATTGAGAGGGTTGATCGGGCATGTTGGGATGATAGCCGGTTCCAATAGGAGAATGTGGGAGGTTCGGGGGCGGAGTGGAAGGGAGCTTAGGCACCATGGAAGGTTCGGTTGAGTGCGGATAACAATCTGCGGAGTAGGAAACGGTCTGGTTGATGCCAGATACCGCTTCCGGCTCACAGGGGCATGCGGAGCGTGGGGTCGGCAATGTCGGGATTAGGAGCTTCAACATTCGCCGACACGTGCTCGTTTACGTGGTCGGTGGCTGGCGGGATCTGGAGGGTCGGAATTGATCGTTTCCCGTTCCCGCAAGATCTTTGCAATACCATGATGTCGGTTGGAGAGAGCCAGTGACAATGGTGTTTGGCCCTTGTTATCAGGAGTAGTGGTGGGAACATCCTTCCGCTCTAGAAGAATCTTGACTACCCCCTCATGCCCGTTGGAGG